CACTGTTGAAATGAGGGGTCTTGGTTCTCTCTGAGTTTGGTTGTTTCCTTGCAGATGTTTCATTATGCAAACTACTAGGTAACATCATCAGTGCTGTAGGGTGTGGGGTTTGTTCTCATTTTATATTATAGGGGCTTGCCCTGTCAGCGTTGGTGGGGATGGGTCTTGGTGGTTCTTTGATTGCCCTGCTTACTGTCACTAAATCTAATAAGATTCAGAGCAGCTTACAATAGACAACAACAATAACAATATAAAACCATTATAAATAAAACTAAGCCAATCCTTCCTGACTTGTTATTTTCTGTTCTGCATTCATGTATTATATACTCCTGTCATTACCGTCCCAAATGTATTTTCCAGAATTGTTTGGTGGGAAGCTGTCAAGGGACTCCTGCAGATGCACAAACTCATCACCACAGTTTTGTAACTGAAGTCAGGGAAAGATCTCTTCCAGGCAACAAAAAGCAATAAAAGTTCATTGAAAGGAACATATATGATTCAAGCTGCTTTATGACTGAACTAGAAATAGCAAATATAATGTCATTTGCCAGCTGTCTCACAATTGCTCATTTAACAACTGTCTAAACTCATGATGTGACTTGAAATGGCTATATTAAATACAGCACTGGAAGATTACTAGAATATCTGCTGTTTCCTTTTAGTTCTATAGAACTTGGTCCCATGGTGATGCCAATATGTTTACAGATTTCTACCTTGATATGCAATAGGCTTTCTTGCTTGCTTTATTCAGTTTGTATGGCTGCCCATTTCAACAAGTGACACTACCCCATTTAATCTTTTCATATGAAACACACACACACACACACACACACACAGAGAGAGAGAGAGAGACAGAGAGACACAGAGAGAGAGAGACAGAGAGAGACAGAGATATATGGAAACAAAGAGAGGCAAAGAGAGATGGAGACAGAGAGAGACAGAGACAGAGAGACAGAGAAAGAAAGAGAGAGAGAGAGACTTACACAAAGAAGGAACATATTGTGAAGCAAAACACCCACCTCATCATCTTTATTTTCAGGAATGGTTCTGATCTGTAAATCTCCATATCGAGCTTTCTTAGAAAATGAAAACAAGGAACAGCAGCAACCTGCTTGTTTTGAAAAAAAGGACCAGGGATCATCTCTTCCTGTAGAAGGGAATGTTAATGTTACAGTACATTTCACTAGTGGTAGGTAGCATATTATTAAAGATAGGCAGTACACTATATATATAACATGCTTTCAAAATTCCAGTTGTACCACTAGCCCCAAAAGAGACCACTGCAATAGTTCGGATGTTTTTCCTAGTGTTCTCTGACATCTAATAAATATTTCTATAGTTATCATTATGAAAGAGAGAGTGGAATGAATGGTCACTATACTATAAATTAAAAAAAAAGATATTATTTCATCTCACAGGAGTTGTGCTTCTCATTTACTAGGCTTGCCATAAATAAAAATAGTTGGCCTGTTTGGTTCATAGAACAGCACCTATTGCCACTGCTACTGTATTTCATAGTACAGCTTCATTCACCTTGAGATAGACAGTAGAGATTTTAGAACTAAATTCAGTGATAAAATAGATACATCAACCACCTAGAGCTCTGACTGGCCAGGGCATGTATTTCTGCATACAAAAATATGCAGAAAATGCATCATGCACATGCTTTCTTCATGTACAGAAAAAAACATTGATTAAGAAACATAAAAGTTAGTCACTCCTTGGTTTAGGATACACTTTGCAAGAGCCAAGTTTAATATTAGTACAGAAAGGTAATAGATTAAGTGAAAGGAAGGATGACTTTGTTGTATTCCATGAGCTGACTATTAATGAACAAGATGGTAGGGTTTTTTTTTAATAATACACTGTGGCATTGCAACACATAAAACCTTATTTTAATACCTCAAGGGAATGGAAATCTACTATCAAAGAGATATTCTATGAATACATAATCCACTGGGATTCTGATTCAGAAGCAACAGAAACCTAAATCACAAGAATTCAGAAAACAGAGTTGGAACAGACTTTAGAGGTGTTTTAGTCCAACTCCTGCTCATGCAGGGGACTCTATAGCATTTCAGACAACTGGCCGCCCAATCTCTTCTTCAAAAACATTCAAAGATGGAGCACCTATAGTTTCTGGAGGCAAATCAATTAATTATTGTATCTGTCAGGAAGTTTTTCCTTATTTCTAAATTGGATCTCTCCTTGATTAGTTTCCATTCATTGTATCAGATCCTGCCTTCAGGTGCTTTGGAAAAGAGGTTGACTTGTTCTTCTTTGTGGCAGCCTCTTAAATATTAGAACACTGATATCATGTCAACACTTGTCCTTCTAGGAATGACATTCTGGATGACTAACAACATGTTAAAATAATTTTATAGAAGTATTAGCAAAGAATAAAATGCAGCAATAGTCTCCTATTCATAATATAGATAGGACCATGTTTTGAAGATATTCCTCAATTTTCTCTGATTTTTTATAAAACCAACTCCCAATATAGGAAGTCTGTTTTTAATAGCTACACATCATCATTTCTGCAATCTTCTATTAATTTTAAAATGGATTTCAGGAGCCTGTGGCAGACATCAGCTGCATTCCCCAATAATATGACATGCTACAGCAAAATAAATAATAATAAAAAAACATTATATGAGAGAGAGTCATTTCATTATATGAGAGAGAGTTTTGTGCTAACTTAAAATGAACATCTGAAATTTGTGGAAATTCATTATAAGTCCACTTAACATTGGTATAGGAAAATTCTTTATTGCTAAATGAGAGGATGTAATCTCATACAAATGATATTTTTATTTATAGCTAGCATGACCATAGATAAAATGTAATATGTGTTTATTGCCAATGAGGAAAAGAAAATTCAGTCCAAGCCATACAGGATCAAAATGTCCACATGTGTTCAATATGTCTAAATAAACTGTAAAATGTCTTTTCAAAGACATTATTCCAAATCAAAATCTAAATTATGACATTAATCAGAAAACTCTGTTCAAAACATCTGAAGTCCTATCTTCAGTCTTACATTTTTCCCATGTTGAACTGTCAAATATCTATGGAAAATGCACAAGCATGGTATGAGTATATTATTATCTGTTGCTCATATTCTCTAATTTTTAGAGTCATCGTTATTTTTCAAGCTCAAATTATGTAACTATCAGAATTAATAATGATTAACATCCTCAACCCTCATGAATTCATCTCATCTTATGTCAAAGTTGTCATATTAGCCTGGTGATTTGCTGGCATTGTTTCTAAAGACAAACCTTACAAATACTTTCTATTGTGTTTTTATTGTGGGGGGGAGGCAGATTTTATATATGTGTGTGAAGATTATAGGGATTCTTTGGCAGAATTTTTGGCTACTTCAGTTCATCTCATTTTATCTTCTTTTACTGAATAATGAGGGGGGAAAAAATCTCAACCAAGATTTGGCTTCAATGTTTTGGAGGCTTGGAATTAGTGCAGTCATAATTGTTGATTTTTTTCTTGCAATAATTTACTAGAAAGAGATATACATGAAGAAAATTAATGTGAAAAGAAATAGATATTGTCATATCTCAGAATTAATGATAGACTTTCAGTAAATGGACAATGAATAATAGAACAATCTTTTAGAAATGGGAGCTATTTTCTAATTTCTATCCTACAATGGACATATCAACTTTCTTCTATAAAAATATAAACTCCTTGGCTACACAAGTGAGGGAGGGAGGGAGAGAGTGGGAGAGAGAGGGAGGGAAGGAGGGAGGGGGGAGAGAGAGAGTGGGAGAGAGAGAGACAGACAGACAGACAGAGAGAGAGAGAGAGAGAGAGGGAGAGGGAGATTGTGTGTGTGTGTGCTCCTCTTGCCACCTCTCCCAAGGGAGTCAAATGGAATATATTTTGGCAGTAGTTCAGGTCAACTGCTTATTAGATACTCCTGTCTCACCCACTGCTGATCAGCTGCTAAGGCTTGATCCAAAACATGGCTGACTCCATAATGATTATTACTGTTGGACAAGAGACTGTCCGAGCTAGGCAGAAAAGTCATATGGGGAATTAGTCTAGAATCTCTACATAGGTACAAGAAGGCAAAGTCTGTCCCCACTTTCAATCCTGTTGAACCTTATCTCATCTGGCTCAGGTGCAAACCACCAGTCTGAGAAGATTCCTGTGTTATAGGCATGAAGAATAAAATAAGTATTTGAAATCATGTGCAAATCTGATTATTTGCACTTAACAATTACAATGCTGCTAGATGGCACTGTACCATCAACTGTAACAAGCTGCTGTCTACATCTCTGGGATCTAAGGTCTGAAGTAGAGTCACGGTGATGATCTATTTGATCATTTCATCCCCAGAGAGCCATGAGAATTTCCCCAACTTCTTTTTAGCTCCATATATATAAAGAACAGAGAACTCTTGTCTAGAGATATAATTTTATTTTCAGATGGTCTTTCAAATAAGTGATGTGCCAAGCCATGGACGGATGCTCTGTATGTTGTGCCATTCATTCTTTGTTATCCTTTCTTCCACCCATTACTACTTGTTTTTAATAACCATATGAGATCTCACTTCACCCAAATGTCTATGTGTAAAATTTGTACTTGAATTGTTTATTACTTAATTCGAAGATGCAGAGTGTTTCAAAATGTCTTAACAACACATACATATGTATAGCAATAATGACAACATACAGTAATAACAGTAACACTGCAATTTCACCAAATGTGAAGTAAATTGGCTTGCAGGCTTTGCTGAAGTATCCACAATTTATTTTAAAGCTTATATACAAGTTGTCTTTAACCAAGGGTCGTCAACAAAAGAATTAAGTAATTGTTAATTTTTATTTCAATAGGGAATAACCTTACTGAATACAAGAACTCTTATGATTCGTGCATTAGGAAAAGAAAGTTTAATTTATGTGATTGTTGCATTTTTCAATCTTGTATGTGCAAGAATCAATTAATTACAAAGACTTTCTCTTTTCTTGTTTATTTAGGAAAAGAAGAATATATTGCAACATTCAAAGGATCAGAGTATTTCTGCTATGACCTCTCCCAGAATCCTATCCAAAGCAGCAGTGATGAAATTACTCTGTCCTTTAAAACTCTACAGAGGAATGGACTAATGCTTCACACTGGGAAATCAGCTGATTATGTCAACCTTGCCCTGAAAAATGGAGCTGTCTCCTTAGTTATTAATTTGGGCTCAGGGGCCTTTGAAGCACTGGTGGAACCTGTGAATGGGAAATTTAATGACAATGCCTGGCATGATGTGAAAGTAACCAGGAATCTGCGTCAGGTAACAGTACAATGGTTACAGCAATAACTGACTTTGCTTCTGCTACAGCTAAGTGTTTGGTGATCTTGCAGTTAGAATAACATGCAGCTGAGTGTTAACAGACCTCTGAACCCTAAGGTTCACCATGTTATGTAGAGATGTATAATTCTTTTTATACATGAGCACAGGCACACCTAGAAAGTAATTTTTAACCAGGATTGCTTTGAACAATTATACGAACACAGCCAGATGCTTCAAGTTGTTTATGTATGAGAGGCAGGTGGACTGGGAAGAGTAGATCATTTTTATCAAGAAGACTAGACACCTAGATAATCAATTATTTCCCAGGCTACTATTTCATACTTGTAATTTTCCAGAAGTTCCCACTTTCTATTGCTGAAACAAAGCTGAATGTTTCTTTGTTTTTCCTTTTATCTACTGGGTCCCTCAATTATATTTTAAGAAATCGAAAACTGATTATAAAGATGAATAAATACCTAAAAATACATTTATAACCGAGAATTTCCTCAAAGAAACATGTCCTGCCAATGAACTTATGCATAGCATTTATATCCTTAGGTTGCACTTCTGTATATAAGTTACTGCAAGAATTCCAATGAAATTGATGAGAGTTATCCATGCAAAAATGGTGGTAGGATCATATCCTAAATAGTTCATTCTATTCTATTTCATTCAAATAGTTGTGAACAATTTTGCTTTGATTGTCAAGTTAAAAAAGATTGTGATATTTTAGTGGTTATACTTGCTTTCATAAAAAAACCTTTGCTTTGCTATAAAACCAAACTTAGTGAGAGGGAACTACATTAATAGTGAGACGCTAATATCTTGTGAATCTATGGCTGAAATGGGATACAGACAGTAAAGCCTAAATGTAAACCTTTCAATTTTCCATTGTGGTAACAATATATCACACTTAACTCTGTGTGGGATTTGACTCTGAAAGACCAGTTACTACCACTTACCAGGAAGCTTCTGTTGGCTCTGGACAATTTGCTGATTTTTAACCCAATGTAGACATCTCTTTTATGTACAGGTCTACCAGTGAGGTTGTAGCCAGCTCTGAGCCTTCTTCTATACAATTCAAAAGCTGTGTAAAATGTTTCTAAGGATAACCCCTGTGCAGGATGCTAAACATCTTATTAGAAGAAACATGTGATAAGACATTTTTACAAGCTCTCCGATGAGCACAGAAAATACCGAGAAGGAGACAAGGAGGATTCCATCTGGGATATTGTTAGTGGTACTTCCAATGTTACCAAAAAGCTGTGAGACAGAGTGTAGAGTGTATAGAAGTAGTAAATAAATAACATAAATAAATATGTTTAAGA